AAAAATGTAAATAACAATGATATCAAGCTTCCAATAAAAATTGAATCACTATATTTCAAATAAAAAAAAAACTAATACACTGACCTGAACAGGGTCAAAAATAAATGGAATTAGTTTAGAGTAAGATTGGTCATCTGATTAGGTTAAGAGTTCACATGAACAACACACGTGCATAGAAGAATTATTGCATTGATATCAACAATTCATTCTGGAAATTTATTCTGAAAATGTATGGATAAGTGAAATGTGTAAAACTTTGAAAGCTATTCTCCAGAGGATGTATATTATTTATGCGTTGAACTATTGGGTTTAAAGTACTTTCACGTTACTCTAATCTCATTTGGTTTCATTAAACTCATTAACTGTTGATTTATCTATAACCGTACAGAATTTTCAACTCATTATTTATATACTTGTTACTCAGTTTCAGATCATAAATGACTTAGTTATGTACAGATTGAGATTTCTTATTTATGGTATGTCTATATATAAGGCCATTTGGAAATGAATAGAGAACAAAATAGGGTAAAGCAATAGTTACACAGAATTCGGAAATTGATAAGATGGACTGTGTAATAACTAGAGAAGATTTAATGAGTTTACAGAGATTTTAACAATCAGTTTAGTCAACATTACATATGAATCAAAAGATAGTTATAAGGTGGATAAAATAACGAACAACAAAATACAAATTAATAATAATAATAATAATATTTGGAATAAATTGAAGGAGAATAATGAATTTAGCATAGCAGTGATTAAATAGCAACTATCTCTTTCCGCGCATATTGGTTTAACAGTCGAATTCACAAGTCGATCTAAGTGAGACCACCATTGGATACCTAGAAGCACTGGACGACTGTTTCATCCTAATATGCGACTTCTCAGTAGTGCATAATCACGTTCTCGAATATGGGAATAGAACCCAGGACCTTCGGTCTTGCACGAAAACACTTAACCTCTAGACTACTGAGCATGCATCCAAATGTGTTAATGTCTAACTTCAATCGATCCATAATCTTGTGCAACTCTTAATTCATTGTCTGAGATGGATAACTGTCTTTATCCGACACGGTTGGACTCCATTGGTCACGACTTCTCACGAATCAACTAGTGAGCACATGATTATCATCAGTATGGGGATCTGTAGAAATGGTTAAAATACTCCAATCTCTACAGTGATCATATTAATTTAGTTTACTTTTAAACAGTTACCGCTTCAGTGAAGTATTTGAAGTTGTGTTTTTTTTTATTTGCTGATAATTTCGAACAATTGATAAAAGTCGGATAATGTGCCCATTGATGATGAAATGTTGAACTATTGTATTGTAGCATCTTTTAATCATAAGTTCTTTGAAATGTATTAGATCTTACTTAATTCATAACAAAATATATATACTATCTACTAATATGTTTTGAATATAATTGCAAAAACCAAATACCTACTATCATAGATTTCATTAGTTTATCAATAATAATATAGTTTTACCGCTTAATTGTATACAATTTGCAAAATCATTTGAGTCTATCAGATTCCTAACACTATTCTCTTTCTTGAAAGTAAAATATAACCGATCATTACTGTTGAATATTTGGGGTCGGCGTAGCTATCGTAACTAATGGTTGGAGATTGTGTGTGACATGGCTCAGAATCGATCAAATGGTGTCGGTGTACACATACACTCTCTGTCTTCTCTTAAACAATGAGATTAAAATCTCTTCATATCTTTCATTCTACGAACTAATCCTTTCTTCTTGTACTATATCATTATATGCAATCTGTCTTTTAGTAATTACCACCTCTGAATTAACTACTTTTAGGAATCCAGTGTTCATCTTGTTGTGTTAATGAGGTATGGCAACTTGGACCGATGCATATATGTGCCTGGTCCTACGTTGTAACTGACTGACTGATCAAATCTCTAATGTTTGTTTTATTTTACAACATCATATTTATTTAATAAAATAACATTATCACATTTCTATTGTAATTACAATAATTATAAAAGTGTTGAATAAAATGTCAAAAAAAGGTACTAATATAAACTGAAATGACAATATTGTAAAGAAATTATAAACAGGGGGGGAGGGGCAAATCATATGATAATTGACAATACAAAAGAGCTTGATTTTAATTCATTATTATAATGTATAAATAATTATTTATGAAAAGAGAATTATTAAAAGGATCTACAACAGGATTTTGATTCCTTTTTTTTCATACTTAATAATGTCTTAAACGATCGGATTGTATGATCTCTATAAGATTTGAGCCAGAATGTTGTGACAGGCCAAAAGATTTCAAACCAAAGTAGCTATATATCATTCCACAGATATATTCGATAAACGTGTTATATCCCGATGAGAATAATGAATGCTAACTGTTAGAATCTATTTATGGACTAATACTATACACATATTTTTATTATGTAATTGTTAAGTAACTAAACTATGTATATTCATATCCCTCTTATTTTAAGCTTTATTTTGACCTATGAACTATTATTATACGATTTACCGTTCTTGAGTTATGCCCTGTCTATCAATCACTATCTCCCTTATTTTTAGCCACATTTGACTAAATCTTGTACAAATGTTGTTTTCTACTTTACGGTGCGATGTGATCTGTTTGGTTTGTATATAAACCCAGTATGTTTGGAATACATGATTCATATCTCAGAAGCTGAGATTGGTGTTCTGGACTTAACAGACAGGTCTAAGCAGGAAGAAGGACCGATAAGGACTGTTCGTACGGGTTTACGCGTCATTGGTTCGGCCGATAAGTCACTGTTCCCTAATTGACGGTGTATGATGATTAGCAGTATTTGAATTATAGTACAAACTAAGAATCCCAGAAATAACGTAATCGGATCAAGAAGTACTAGATAAGCACGAACGAATGTACCGTATTTGGAATTCGAAATCAAGCATTCAACAAGTACAAAGGAATCATTAGTTCATTCAAACACCACACGTTATATATTAATAGAGCACAAGTTATAAAACGAACCTCGCTGCTTTGATTTGTCAGTCTAATTATGACATCGGTCAACTGGGTTTAGTACGGAAGGCTCCAAATATACTAAAAAAGGACACCCATTTTTAATAGATAATTTTAAAGAATAATTATGTACAAAGAAACAAAACCTCACCTGGTAATAAAATGTGGTGACACGTGTGAGGGTCTGAGTATTTGAAAGGGAAAAAATGAGTGATCAATAAGTAACTAAATGAAATCTGATTTACGCTTCAAAAATGAGCTCATAGCATGTTTTGGGAAACCTGAACAGTATGTTAGTAGTCACCGATGGGACCAGACATATTCAAGAAAATATTACGTAGATAAAGCATACCTTTTATGAATTTACTGCAGAGTGCAAAAGCAATTAATTTCCCACACATTTTCCGAACCGTTCAGACGATTCGCTCACCAGAATGTCCCTTTGTCATAGAAAAAAGACTGATATAGGCTGTCTGAAAAAGACTACTTGTGACACTATAATGAGTAATGTTTCCTCTAAAACTCCGCTTTCTTGGACAGATTGATGTCTACCATTCATGGAGCACACGCAAATCTGTTGTTTAACTATGTTCTCTCCCCAGACCTGAAGGACTTTGGATAAATCTCCCTGAGGCAAGGAATAGACATTGCCGAAGTCTCGTAACGATGACTATCCTGGGAATTTATTAATCAATCACTTACGTATCAATATAGTCTAAATGAAATCGATAAACCTAACTATTGTAATTACTAATTAAAAATACATATTCATCTTACGATCATATTTGCCTGCTCCTTGGTGCTAATCGAATTCTACTGACCACTGGTTTAGAAAAACACTTACTACGTGTACCACTTTTCTACGTTGAGAGACTCCACGTACCTGATAGGAAACCCTGACCGACATATTTCAAGCTAGTTGACACTCGTTTACATGATGAGAATTGTTGCTACCGGTGAGGAACGAGACCATTTCATCCCGGCATCACACTCAAAAACGTCACCACTAAACTATTAGGACCGTAACTGACTACCTGTAGGACTGAGATGTTAGCACTGTTATTGTCAATAACATATCTGTGTAAGCTAATTGATGCTGATTGAATTTTAACGCCCAATGATTTGTTTTCTGTCAACTGATACTTGTAAAACCATTTTACATCAAAATATTAATCCTACTTCACTTTGTAGAAGACTGCAATAAAAAAACTCAGAATGTGTATTTTCTGCCATAAAAAACTCAACCAATACATCATAGTTCACAAGTTCCATGTGCTTTCTCTTTTGACATTATTACTTAACTGAGATGTCAAATAATCGTTTGAGGTAAAAGAAGATAAACAAAGCATAAAATAATGATAGTTCAAGATAGAAAGGAGGATTGGTTAGATAATCAAATAAAAATCGTTGTTAACTACAAGGAGAAATCAAAGATAACCGGGTAGAAAACACAGGCATCGTTTCATCACAAACAACTTCCAACATACCTCTGCTAGAGAATACATAGTCGCTAAAGAAGCACGTAGAATTGATGATATCCAGTCATTTGTCTTTCTTCAGATGTACGCTCAATAAGCATGTGAATAAAACAATGCTGGAAGACAAAACCGTCAAATTGTAATGTTAACAATAAAAATAATAATACATGTGATTACAAAATAAAGATAGAAGAGGAATTACGATAGCCAAGCATGTGAATGAATAAATAAATAAATGAGTCAATAATTTTGATTTAATTTCCATAATTAGCTGAGATTAAACTTGAGTTTACACTGTGAATATCACAGAATAGGATGTGGAGGATAGATTGAGCAAGATAAATAAATAAATAAATAGATTTAATACACAATAACTAAATATGTATAAATCTTTAATTAGATAGTGTGCGTGAGTGTGCGGATTCATTTGAAGGAGAATAAAGACAGTGAAAGAACTCTTGAGTCGATTGGAAATTAATAGAAAAAATAGAATATAATGATTGTATTTTTTAAAAAATTAATCATAATAAATCATCAATAAACTCTTTATACTGTTGAACGTGACTAGAATTATGCAATGACGACAGCTCTCTAGGTAAATTCATCTCATTCATGATTAAGTTGCAAGAAGAGTTTATTGTATGAGGTGATGATGATGATGATGACGATGATGTTGATTTAATGTCATGTTTAACTTGATCATCAGTGAGTAAAGATGACTGATCAATAACTACTAATGTAGAATTAACATTCTTAGGAATCATTGAATTAAAATTATAAAATGCATTATCACCTTCACGTATATCTTTTGATGGCTGTCCACATTGTTGAAAGTTCACATCGATAAGACTGACTTGTGGATGAGTAGTAACAGAACCTGGTGCTAGTGGAGGTGGCGGTGGACATCGGACAATATTTAATTTATTCGAATGGGAATTACCTTGAGAAATTATAGGAAATTTTGGATTAAGTTGAGTACGCTTTTCAGTACCAACTGTGGAATTATTAATATTTGCAGTCGGTGCAATTGTAAGTGTTGGTAGATTATTAGATGAATAAGTGTAAACTGAAGATTGACCAATTAACGGATTGATTTGAAGTAATGACTCTGTTGAAGGATGTATGGATCCGATAGATTCAGAGGATTTTGACTATCATTGGTACTACAGTCTGTATAAATTGGTAAAGTATCACAGTGGAATTTTCGACTGCTAACGGAAGGCATTTCAGTATTCTGATTAAAAATATTAGTTAGAACAGAATCCATGAGAAATGCCATTTTCTGAAATTAGAAATAAATAAATAACTCTTGACAGAAAAAATTGGTACTATATTAATTGAATAATTTCAACTGCTTTTAAAGTATACAGAAAACACTATAGACAGAGATGGATGGTGGCTAACAGTGAAGTTCAGGATGCCGTCTCGTCTTATTTGGGACTCGTTAGACGAATGTACCTGCATCCCAGAGTTGATATTCACTCCAAGGCTCGAAACTAGTATCATTCACTTCAAACGCCATAGTGTTATCCACTTAGCTACCGATTCCAGATAGTCACTAGCTTAATGTTCGCAATAACTATTACAGTTTTAACATAAATCAATCAATCAGTTAGTCATAAACGTATAACTTCATAAATCTGTTCATTGATCCCAACAGCTACACTACATCAGCACAGATAGATGTCAGATTATTAGTAGTGGGGGCAGAATCACTGGTTGTAGAAAACATTTGGCACAGACAATATGATTCGGCAGGAAAGAATGAGTTTGAACAACAAAAAGTATGAGATAATTTTAAAACTAATGATCTAAGAGAAGACGAAGAATGAGTGCATCTGTTACAATGCGAGTCATGTTGTAGTGAACAGAACACCAGTGTGGACCAATCCAATGTATTTAACACAAAATTACAAGACTTGTTAATAAAATCTAACAATCATAAAGTAAATGTTTAATTTGCAAAATGTCCGCAAATTGTCTCAAAATGACTCACACTTCATTGTTCTTGCATTTTCATACAAGTTTCATCCTGTCCCCATTCTTTACTGTTCGATCCTCTTGTCTCTCTGCTGTCAGACCTTCTATTCACGACTAACATCATATACTACTTATGTCAATATAAGTAGCACATACCACAATGTCACTTAGCATCTATAATCACTAGTCACAACAGTCACGCGGATTCCAATCAAGTAATTTGGAACTATATACACTGCACAAACCAACAGTCAACGAGTTGATAGACTGATACCACGTCTTAGCTTGATCGTCCTCAGTTTTGTTCTAACCTACTCCTACACCAGTCAACGTATTGTGTCGAGGTAGGCAGTGATTGTCCATACGCAACATATACCCAAATTTCAACTCAGTCGATGAAGAGTCACCACCTTATCAATCTACTTGCCATTTATAACTCATTAACCAATTATAGGTTTTCAATACTTTAGGCTTTGAGTCACAAGTGCTAATAAAACCACAGAGGTTTATCCGAAAATAAATAAATGAAGTGATGTTCGGACTAGTGAGTTAATTGTTTAATTACAACTGATTTAATCAATAAGTTACTGTTCCACAAAAGTGTAATTCAAACTCCCTTTATAATCTTGTTTAATGACCATTTGATAAAATGTTACACAATAAACGGGATAGTATGATAAAACTTCGAAGAGATAATTATGGTGATGGGTTTGTTACTTACATTCACGTAGAAGTTAAGGTAATTAATGACCGGTAAATGACAATAAATATGTTGGTTACATTAAAACTTGATGAATACATACACAAATGTCATTATTTTTCACGTATAATTATTCAAGGTTTACAGGTAGAAGCAGTTATCTTACAGACTTTAACTAAAAAGGAAACGCTTTCCTAAATGAATGAAATTGATGGTGTAAATCTGCACAATCGGTTCTGTATGTGAATAGGCGCACATGCCATTTGATTACAGAGCCCTGTTCACAAAGAGATTACATATATATTTATAAAGACAAATCAGTCATGCTTTCTATTTAATATAGTGATGCCGAAATAGGTGATGGTCGTTAAATGAATATAACTGACTATTACGGCAGATTTCCCTTTCTCTCCCAACCTCTCTTATTAGCTTATAGTTTTCATCCTTAAAGTGTCTTTTTGTATAGCAATCGTTAAATCTATTCGATGGCGTTTAATATCTCCAATCCCCTATTTCGAACTCCAACTAACAACACAACATATAAAATCCATACTAATTAAATCTACCTTCGTTATCTAAACAATCAACAATGAGCAGCAGAATGGACTACCTTGTGTTTTCTCTCGTAATATGACATTAGTTCGAATGTATAATAAAAATTATTCAACAAGCTCCATTATAAGCACGGGAGGTAATGACATAGCCTGGTTGCACAAAACGAATTAGCTGGAGCGGAGTTCGAACTAAGGACTTAGTGACCCGAAGTTGAACCCTTTATCAACTAACCCACAACTCAAGAATTTCGCCACTTGATAGCTCGTTTATCAGGTACAGACTCGTGTCCCTGACTTTGAGACACACTTATTGTGAGGATTAGTGGTACCAACACGGAACCTAAACTGAACCAGGTGGAGCGAGATTTAAACCTGCGATTTGGTGGATGAAAGCTGAGTATTAACAAATGAACCAATTAAAATGGTAGTGAACAAATAAAAAAATTATCTAATATCCAGCAAAGATGTGCACTGGTCGAAGTTGAAACGCCTGAGATCAGTAGACTGAAGTTAACAACAAGAGGAAAAATCACTGAAGATTATTACAGTAGCAAAAGTTAGAACATGAAAATATGAGAATACAACAAAGGGAGTGAAGGTGTGAGGGAATAAAAAGTAATGAGATGATAGAAATTCCCAAGATTAACAGCGGGTTGACAAATGAACGGACCTGTGTCATCAAGACTGATGTCCGATAATGAAACTTTTACATTCATGTACAACTTAAATCAATGACTTCATGAACTTAATCATCTATAACCCACTTAATACTAACCAATTTTATGCTGAATACAGCATCAAAAAAGGAGTTGGATGGGTATTAACAGAACAATCCCTAATAGTCAGTATACGTTTACAAAAACATACCCATTAATTTTTCATAACTACCTAACACTAAGAGAAACAAAAGTACAGTTCCCTTGACAGTAACACTATAACCAGATAAGGCTTTGATGATATCCAAGATCAAATACTTGTAAATTAGTTTTTGTATCTATTTTTATCATGTATATGTTGAATTGACTGTTAATGTTTGTAAAGATGGTGTTTTATTTTGTCAGTGAACCCTGAAAACTGAATATATGCTAAAAAAAAATAAGCGCAGTCTTACGTGTGCACGAATTTGATAAAATGACTGAACTGTACAATCTTTTGATCCTAATTTAACCCTGCATCAATCGAAAAGCGAGTTGTTTACAGTGTATGCTGGACACAGGCACATATTATAACTACATGGTTCGCAGTAAAATCAAAATAATAGCGAATGAGATTTATTAATCAATTAAAACAGATGACCTTATATTGCTTTTACAAAAAAAACAGAGCAAGCTTACTAAAAAATAAATATCATCCATTAATACTGTCAACTATGAGTAATCCAAGCTCAGTTAGTTAACAATTCAATCGATGATCTCAAGTATGATCGATAGCTTTGGATTACTTAAGGTATGATCCAAGTTCTATGGCGAATTAGATTACGAAGTACTCTATATATTGGGATTAAGGCTAAAAAACTGACCTGTTACTTTGAAAGTTAAGCGTCTTCATACAGTTATAATAATTCGAGAATATGAGTAAACAACACATCCCCAGAAAAAATGCAATGTTTTGGACATAACATTCAGTTTTTCACACTACATACTGTCATTCCTAGCTCATTACAAACTTATAGCCAGTCAGTCAGCTTCATTATCAGAGTCTGGCACGGATGTGCAGAGGTCAAAGTTGTCATATTTCATTAGCATAACCAGATAAAATCAACAAGATGTGTAGCAGAAGGGATCTAAGTAACATAGTACCAATCACAATGAAAAATAAAAATTAAGGGTAGGATTCGAAAAGACAGTGAAGAGTTATACATAGAGGAACATCGGGATTCAAGATCGAGAGGATAATAAAGAGTGCATCTGCACAGTCGCGAACGATTCTAAGCTATTCCACACACAGTATCCAGCCACTGGTTGGTGTTATCGTGTATACCCCACCCAGATAGTCTGCATCTGCCTACATCACTTAGACCAACAGTCATCGACTTCATTTCATGTTTTGTCTGAACTGACAAAACAGTAGAATGACTTTACGACAAATTTATATGTGGTAAATTGTGAATATAAGCTTCATCTCTAAAAAAAACCAGCCTCTGACTAATTCAAATGTTTTATATTTGTCTGTGAGTGGAAATTATTGAAAGATGAAAATATCCTTTTGAGGATTTTATCTAGGATTGAGGTTGATTTGAACATTACTACTTAACTGGTTTCAAGTATCATATATTGGTCAATTTCAATGAGGCTTATCTTGCATTTGAATGATACAGCTCACCTCCCATGGAGTAAATCCACTTTAAAAAAGCCCATTGAAAAAAATAAGAATCCTTTAATTCGGAAATCTCACTGCCATTATGAAACAAAAGAAGTACAGTGATTGCGTCACAAATGGTTTTATAAAACCACTTCTATCAAACAACTACAAGTTATGAATATGGTACGAGTGGTTATAGTCAGACAGTTTATAGAAACAGAATAAGAATTTTTAATGGCTATTGATTGGTACTTTAAGGTGTGCATAAATTGTCAAGGATAATACAGTTGAGAATCGAACGTCAGCTTTTACACTAAGATTCGGTTTTTCGATTAAAGGAATTTTTTGGTTTACTTTAAAGGTAAACTGATGGGGTTACAGAGAGGTATGGCATTTATCGAACGACGTACTTTGCTATTGGTACACTGAAGATGTATCCTATTTCACACACTACAGTGAGTGCTTCAAAGTACATATGTTGTTTTTCTCAATGTAAGTGACTAAGGACTTACATTTTGTAATAAATCACTACCACAAACAGGACTGGAAAACCTAAACATTAGGTCAATATTTCTTAATATAGTACGAAGTATAACTGACTCATTTATTTTACGATCAGTTATCAGGGCTTAATTCAGTACAATAGATAGCCTTCAGGTGTGAGGTTTACTTCCGAGCGGCCTTTCAACAAATAATGGACAACAGTAGACGTAGCTCAAGTCCACAAAACGTACTAATTTACGAGCGCCACATAAATCATTCGATTTGTGTAAGGGTTGGGATATTGCCTGGGTGCCCAAACCGAAGCAGGTGGTTTTCTTAGGGGAGCCACACCCCTAAAGGTCTGATCCACAAGGCAGTGGGGCAACGTTAAGAGATGCAGTCCCATGGTAGCCGATGACCAACGATTGGTTCACACACCGATTGTTCCTTCAGGATACTGGTTCTCATGTGTATCATTGGTTTGGAGTCAGGGTTCTCCAATTCCCCTAGGTGGACTCTCCGTGTCCACTAACCCGGTTAAAGCACTGGACATTCGCTTTTCGTCCTCTCAATTTTGTAAAACACCCCGCTGCGCGGAAGAGAATCGAATGGTTTATGTGGAACATACTATTTGGTGCCTCCTTGTACCAATGTTTATGCGTTTAAATAAATAAATTTACGAGCGCTATATTCTGAACAAAAGCTTTAGTCGTTTTGTTATTATCAACCAATACGATCATCTCATAGTAAATACAATGAAGAGGTTCTGCAACGTATGTTCAGGCACAGCGACGATAATCCAATTAGTGTCACTATTTTGAAACATTGAATTTGGTGCCTTGGATATGTATTACGGATGTCGTACCAGAGGATTCCACATCGTTGGTTCTTCACGACTCGCTGGTTGAGGTCTTACAGATGGTGCACCAGTGGCTGGAGACGTTATCAGACATGACTCAGAATAAAGTCAGTTGCGATTCCGCTGTAACTCTTTCTTACTTTCATCATAAAAATAGACGTAACTTCTTTGATTTAGTTCTTTTTGGTTACATTTTTGCTAACTGAACTGTTTCTCTGATTATTAGTATTATTCCACTCTCATACACCGATTTCTGTTTGTTGTTGTTGTTCTTCTATTATACGCACTTTACATTATCTCTCCATGGCCTCACTGTTATTGTGTGGTGCATATGTATTTGGTGCCCCTTTGTACCAATGTTTGTGTTCAAATAAATAAATAATAAACTCCTTAGTTGCATTCCTAGAGATGAGGCAACACAGTGGCTTGAGATGTCAGACGCGGTTCAGAATGGATGCCACTGGCGGTCCTGATGTGATTTCCCCCTACTTTCCTCATATGAGAGAAACTTTCACTGGAAGGACCCTTTCTAGTTGTATTTTCCTTAGCTGAACTGCTTCTTCCACTTTTTTTCTTTTATATCATACTCACCTTTCTTTAACTATCTCTTTGCAATCTTATTTTTATTGTGACGCATACATATATTGGTGTCCAATATTTGATTTCAAATAAATAAAAAGCGTTGTGAAGAGCTTTTCCTATATCAAGAACCTCGAAATGAAAGCAGATTTATATTGATATGTTCAGTGAAAATCCATGCAAGGAAGAGACCTGAACCATAGGTAGGTAGTATCTCTGGAAATAGTAATGTTTTGTGGAAAACATCTCATACCAGCTACACTTTAGCAAGGCCAGCAGTATGAAATGTCGTTTTTTACCTAACTACTTTTTGATTAATCTGTATGGTAGAACCGGTAAACTTTATACGTGGAAACATGGCTATCTTCTAAGCAGGCCTTAAAATACGAGACTGATTAAACAAGCTAACATAATCTAGTCTTTTTTGGAGGGGTTGTGTAGGTTGTGAAACGTCAATCAATTCACGATATTCAATACACGCAGACAATTAAATCACGACCAATGTAATTTAAAACTAGGATGAAAAGCACGATATATTGTCTCTTGAATCGTTGCATTATAGCCGAATTATTTAATACCTTATTCCTTACTCAATGTTAGGTAAATCAATGTAACAGTTGAATCTTGTGCTGATCTAGGTTTCTCTAGAAATAAGGGAGTTGATAAACCGGAGTGACCAATTAGTGTCCAACATGCTAATCATTTGTTACAAACGAAGATTATAAAATTATCATTACGCCCCTATCTAGCGACCGAAAAGAATTAGGACCAATTTAGATAGATAAAGCCGATTTATGTATGGAGTAACATATTCTTTTTCATCACAATCTGAACAAACCACACATAAAAGACATTTCCTTAAAGCTACTTACATGATGACTGCAACTTCTACATCTGCACTGTTTGATTTCAACCGACACTATAAGCAAAAACACATACATTCACTGATTTCACGGTGGGACTATAATTTATGGACGACCTTTGAGCGACGCTAAAAGGACATTGATAATGTCCACCTACATACTACGGCTAAATGAGGGTTATAAACCAGTGTGAGGAACTAAAATTAATATCTAAATTGATAGTTAGGGTTTGGAAATAGATCTTTGGTTTTCATTACAAACTTACATTAACTATAATGCTAAAAATATTTAGCCAAATGAATGAATTAATTTTGCGCCAAAATTCAAGACCTGTCGTCGTAAATCTGACTGGCTCGTCCATAAATTATAGTCTCACAAGCTGCGGTAAACTGTGGCTATGCCGTAACTGCTTTTTCTCTCTATTTCCTATAATGCAGATTATGGCTTTTATAGCAAGTGCCTCTTGTCAGCAATATAATAAAATATTTCATAAGCATCGAAACCGTGCTGAAATGCATAAATTTGCTTTGAAGGTGTAATACGATGAAACATCAGGAGAAAAAAGATAAGGGAACTAGTAACTAACTTCAGGTTTACAGCTCTCTTCAACCCATTTTATCACTGATGCTGAGAGGTCAGTAAAAGAATTGAATACAATATAATTGTCAAATGAACGGAACATGGCGTCAAAAAACACTCGAAACACTTCTAGTTTTGTATCATCTGGAATCGGCTCGACTGATCTACATTCGTAATTCGGACTGTTTTGAACTATTTTCTCATAATTCCTGAATTTAAGAAACAACTACATTGAAGACTTACAAGCATAGTATTCGAAGAGCTTTAACCTCCTTTTCTAGACTTTCGACTTCTGACAATTTTTGGTGCTTTTGCCTTCCAAGCCTTTCAATCATATAGATAGCTGTAATGGTTGAAAGAATATACTGCTTTTCACTACCTTTATGTAATATGCTCGATTTACTCATCCTAACGGACGGAGAGGGTGATTCGTTTTTCATTGGATGGACGAGCTCTAATAACCCTTCAAAACCCCTCTAAATTAGGCATGGAAACCATAGCAGTACAACCAACCTTTATAGCATTTCGACGACGCTGCTCCGCTTCAGTGTGCAGCTTACGCCTACGTTCTCTAATGCCATAACTTTCCACAGATGAGTAGTTTTCATCTTCCAGGTCTGATTCATATAAAGTTTTAACACCTGTATTATGTGATAAGCTGCTTTCTGCGTTCAGCGCCATCTGCTAGCGTCCAGACAACAACCCGAAAGATCTAGCGCAATACTTGACCTTCCCTCTGAACACGAAATTCAAACTCCAAACTCTGATAGACGAATTAGAAAACTATCATTATGGACCTGCTTAGAAATAGAGCTGTCACGTTTCCTAAAACAACGGAAATATAGGGGAGAATATCAAAAAGGTAATTGCTTCCTTTGAAATACAGAAAGAAAATTTAATAGTGTTTATAAGATTGGTAAAATAATATATTTTCTTATTTTATGTGACACTGTATAAGCACCTATCTTGGACTGTCAGGTTTTCCTTTGAACTACATGAGGTTTGCGTGTCAGATATTAATTAATTTTCGTTGTTGCAGTGGGGCGTGATATTTGCGGAGATAGTTAGAATTGATATACTTTTGGTTCACCACATATTCAAATATTCATATTTTGGCAACGCCTTTACTGGTAACACCTTTATGATCGATGAATAACAACACATTCAAGCCAGAGTTCAAACGGTTCAAATAGTTCAAATGGTTTTGGACGGAACAGAAGAAGCTTTCGTTTAACGGGCTTCCGTGTCCAATAGCAGGGGATCACCAAATTCTCCAGGCAGGAACCTAGGTATGTTAACAATAAAAGAGGAAAAGAAATTGGTAAATCATAGTGTGACGCTGTCCTTGGCCCTTAAGAATAGGTCAAGTTGCCTCTTGAAGGACTCTTGAGAAGTCGCTTGGACTAGCTCGGCCGGCAGCGAATTCCAGCATTTGACAACTCTTAAAGAGTAGAAGTTGTGTCTACAGTCCGTTCTGCTATGTTCTGTCTCCAATTTCTGGGTGTTACCCCTTAGTTTTGTATTGGAACTAAGCTTAAGTAGGTGTTTAAAAGGATGTCCAGAAGTGTTGAGGATACTGTAAGCCATTAGAAGGCCACCTCCAAGATGCCTATACTCTAATGGGTAAAGGTCTAGTGAATGGAGGCGCTCTTCGTAAGGTTTAAACTTGAGTCCTCGAACTGATTTCGTGGTTCGCCGTTGGATACGCTCCAAAGTGTCCTTATCCTTTTGGAGTGAGAGGGAAGTACTATGTTTCCGTACTCTAAATGGGGACGGATGAAACTATTGAAGATTGTGTGGAAAGTTCTTCCGTCAAACTGGCCAAAAATGCGCCTCAACGTTACCAGTGCAAGTTTTGCTCGGAAGGCATTTTTGTCACAGTTAGCGTAAGACTTTAAATCATGGGGCACCAGGACTCCTAAATCTTTTTCGAGTTGGGATATTACTAGGGAAAATTTTCCTAAGTTGTAACTGTAGTTTGCGACATGTCGCAGATGGACTACTTTACACTTTGAGGTGTTAAAAGTAAGTCCGTTATTATCTGCCCAACTTTGAAATCGAGTCAGATCCTCCTAAAGTGCCTGTATATCGTCTTGGTTGCGTATCTCTCTCCAAAGTTTCACGTCATCGGCAAAAAGTAATAAGTCTGACGTTACCTGTTGAGGAAGTTCATTTATGAAGATCAAGAAGAGAAGAGGTTTTAGTACTGAGCCCTGGGGGACTCCACTAGGACATTCCATAGCCTGAGATCAAGTGAAACTAACCCTGGCCTTAAAATGTCGATTTTTCAGGTACGAAGTAGGCCAATCGATTAGAGGTGGTCTGATACTCAATCGTTTGAGCTTATTGATAAGACATGTATGGTTAACCTTAGCAAAAGCTTTTGAGAAATCTAGGTAGATGATATCAGCCTTCCCCTTGTGATCAAGGATGCTTGTCCATCTGTACACTGCAGTCAGAAGGTTGGTTATACAAGAGTAGCCCTTCCTGGAACCATGCTGTTGGGGTGAGGAGAAATTCAAGGACAGTAAATAGTCATTTATACCATCGCATATCAGGGACTTCATGATTTTTGAAGGTATTGAGAGAAGAGCCACTGGTCGACAACTTGAAGGTTCGCTTCGTCGACCTCCTTTGAAAATTGGTGTGATGCGAGCCAGCTTCCAATTTTTCGGTGGTTTTCCCCGGCTTAGCGAGTGTAAGAACATCACTCTAAGCGGCGTTGCCAGGATTGGGGCTGCTTCCCTCAGTATAGCAGAATGGGCCATATCCGGGCCAGCAGAAGTGTCTATTCTTAAGTGCTGCAGTTTCCGGGACACCAAGTCAGCGCTCAGGTTCACTTCAGAAATACCTTTGGAGTTTCAGATGAAGCTTTCATCAGTACTGTTGATGTGGGTCGGTTGAAATGTCCGAGAGTATTGTTCGGCCAAAAAGTTAGCAGCGTCGCCGTCGTCGTTGATCGGGCCGTTAAGACCTAGCAGTTGGGAAACTCCAGTTTTGGTTTGACGAAGATAGGCTGCATAACGGGATAAGCTTTCGGATTAGAGACTAATCTATCCATGGCTCTATCTAGTACTGAAGCCTGTCTTCTCTTATAGCTTTGTGCATATGTTCCTTATATGTTTGTATTGCCTGTACGCTCCGTTGTTTTCAGTTTGTTTGTACTCTGCCCAACAGTGCCTTTTGCGGCTTAGCAGGCGAAGAGTGCGGTTCCTGATGATTGTGGGTTGCTGATAGCCATGGGGGACCGTTTGTGGAACCGAATGATTTGTAGCACATATGAGCGTGTGCAGTAAGAAGTCCCACTGAGCATCCACATCGAGTTGAGGGTGAACATCCCAATCCACCTATTGTAGATATTCCTGTAGAGCTGACAGATTCAACCGTTTGAGATCCCAGTGCACGTTGTTGGTGGGATATCTTAGCTCAGTTTTGGTGACGAAAATGAAAGCTATAACGGCGTGATCGCTTTTTCCCAAGGGAGCCAGGATTGAGAGGTTGTCAACTAGTAATTCTTCGTTTGTAAATACACAGTCTAAGCGCGATGGTGTCTGACTGTTTCTCCATTGAGTTGCCGACTTCACATTTTCGTATAATCCCAAGTCCTAAATGAGGTTGAATAACCGTGCTACAGTTGAGTTTTCACCTCCAATATACGTATGTTCCGCGAAGTTGACCCCAGGGAGATTGAAGTCCCTTAGAATCAGGATATGAATGAAACCGAGACGCGTAGAGCGGGATAGTCCTTCCAGCATACGACTGTCATACTCGATGTCAGCAGTGGACTTCCTGTATATGACTCCGAATAGTCACCTCGAAGTAGTAGACAATCTTACAGAGCACCATATGGATTCCTCAAGATTGTTAAACTCGAGGTTATGAACTTGGTGTACCTCCAAACAAGATCGTATGTATATGGCTACTCCACCCCCAATTCCTGATTTTCTGTCGTTGCGAAACAATGACATCACAGGTACTACTAACTCATGGTCCGGAACTGAGATATCCAAGTTTCAGATATCCCTACCAGATGAGCCTTATTAATAATGCTAAGTTCACGTAGCCCATCCATTTTGTTTGATAGACTCGCGGCGTTCATGTATAAGCAGTTTATGCTTTCAATTTGAAACTCGTGAGCTTCTTCCTGTTTGTCTGTATGAGTCTTACGTGAATGGACAGGTAGCCTACCTATATAAGGTTTGCCGAGTTGGTAGGCCCTGTCATTTACACGTTTTTTTATCATCGAGACAGTCCACAAGTGGAATGGTCAGTCCAACTTGCCTTCGTGCTTGGTCCTAGCTTTATATGGCCTATCCGGGTGCATGTGGATTCCAGTTGGCAACCGACGTCTGTTGGCACGAAATGCCTCCAGAGTTGCAGCCGCCATATGGGAGGATGGGAAAGTTATCTTTGTTAGCTGGGGTCTGGAATCACTGTCCTTCTTGGCTAGTCTCGTCACACGTTGAGTCAGTATGTTTTTGAGCCTCAACGACTGTTTGATGAATTTTTATTCCCTAATATCAAAGTTTGCTTGATTAGGGTCCGTGTTTTCCGGTACACCTTGCACAATTAAATTTATTTCGCGGAAAAACTCGCGAGATTCTTTAGGGGTGTTCCGGATGAGATTGCGCTCAGAATACGGTATGTCGGGCAGTATTCTTACGTTCCCATCGGATTTCAGTAAATAACTCGCTAGCAAGACATCCTCTACGTCGGTAGCATTCTTAAGTGTCACACGAAGTAGCCTCGGGTGTTTTTGATGCTTAGATTCCTTTCCTCGAGTGAGCCGTGTGACTGTCAAAGGCCTACTCTAGGAAGTTCAAGTTTCTCATTCAATTCACCCCAAAGTTTCCTGTCATTTTTGTCCTGCAAACTAAGAGGACGGTCAGGGCTGTCTTGAGGTTCATGATTATGAGAGAGTCATCACGAACCGTTATTGTTTTCCCAGGTTTTCCGGTGCGTTCAGGTTCAGCACTTTGTTTTTTGGAGGTCGAAGCATGTTTGTAAATTCTAGGCTCTTTGATGACCGGACAGACATTCTTTGCGGTAGACTGTGCGACCAAATCACTAGTTGATTTCCGTACAACACCTGAGATGTTCAACTTAGACGGTAACGCCTGATCCTTTTTAGCTCTTTTAACGTGGGTCCAATCACCTACAGAGTTTTCTTGGACCACTTTCGCATGCAAGGACCCCAAGCTGGGAGACCTGAGTTTACTGAGGGAGTCGATTACCATCGACGTAATGATGGTGCTGAGTTTCAACATGTCATCATTAGTCCTAACACATGCTCCATCAATGGCAGGCCTGTCAATATCCCTGTTCTTCTTTTCGTTGTGCACTCTTGTTTGTTTACCCGTTTTGTGACTGTCTTTTACCAGGTTTCCTGACAACTTACTCTGCAGACCTGTCAGTAGGACAATGACGTTACTCAGCAAGACTACAGCATCCGTGCTGCACGTAACACAGAAGTGAAGTTCGAAGATAAACTTGGAAGGTTACCGATATGTCGAGTAACGTTTGATCTAAGCTGGGTATTATATGCAAGGGATGTGTAGAACGGCTTACCCACTCGTGATGTGATATGGATGTGTGACCAAGCGCCTTGTAGGAATAGTTTACATATACTTATTTTGCAAGTAGTTTTTGTTGTTTGAATTTTTTATTGATTCTCATGATTT